ATAACTTTGTGCATATCTGCTGTGATGACTCACAGATTTTATAACTGTGTGGGGCTTTGTGTTGCCAGATTTTCTTCATTTTGTTTCAGAGAGAAACCTAGCACTGCAGTATAGACTGTAGAAGTTATGAAGTCCAAATAGAATTACCCTCATTCCACAAGAAGCTTCCAATCCAACAGAATTACAATACAGACTTACTTTTTAGACTTATAATTGTTCAGGGTCACATGGTGACTTCATTTTTAAACTGTAATCCTAATGTGTTTCCTCTTAAGTTCATCCTATTAAAATGTTGTTATATTCTTTGAAATAATAGAATGATGTGCTTTTTTTTGAAATTGAGCAATAACCATCATATTTGTCTTATCACAATTCTTTCTTCCCTTCTCTTTTGAAACTTACAATATTTGAATATACAACCCCTCTTTTCTCATGATCACTATAATTGGGCCACATTCTTGTCTACTGCTCTCTTTCTTTAAATGCTTTTCAAGCACTGCTATTATCGTAGTTAACTTACATATCGACATGAACAGCATAGATACTTCTGGTCTTCATAGATTCTTCTTTCATTCAGTGTCTTTATTCTATTTTTTAAATCCAGTGAATTCTTTCTCAAAGATGTTTTTCCTTTTCACTTTTTCCTTCCTTTCTTAGTTGTTGCCATCGCGGTATTCTTGCCAGTCCTTCCTATTCTAGTCTCTTTCCCCTTCGATCCACCTCACATACCCCTTACATCATTCTTTTTATGTTCATCATTCATTTAAAAAAAATCTATTTTATTGATTTTTTACAGAGAGGAGGGGAGAGGAATAGAGAGTTAGAAACATTGATCAGCTGCCTCCTGCACACCCCCTACTAGGGATGTGCCCGCAACCAAGGTACATGGCCCTGACTGGAATTGAACCTGGGACCCTTGAGTCCGCAGGCCAACACTCTATCCACTGAGCCAAACCGGTCAGGGCTTCATCATTCATTTTTGGCAAAGTACCCAGTGGATCACAACTGTGTCTCATTCAGCCTTTTTTTCCTTTATTATACTTACTACCTTTCTTTTATTATAAAAATTTTGTCTAGTCATAGAAAACATGGAAAGTATCAATATGTTAAATATAACTGCATTCCATATTTAAATGTGAAATCCTCATATATCTCTGGAAAGTTTTTTAGCCTTCTACATGAAGGTCTTACATATAAAGTGGGGGCAAAAGTAAGTTTATAGTTGTTTATATGGGAAATAATATGATAATTAATAAATAATAATACAAGAGTAAACTCTGTTTCCCGTACTCACAACTGTAAACCTACTTTTGCCCCACCCTGTATTCTTCTGTGTGGTGTTTCTAGATCATTTATTTTTACAGCTATTCTAACTCAAAAGATTCTCTTTGGCATTTCTAAACTGGTTACCATTGTTTTGTGTAAAAATGTAGATTTTTGTTCATTTTAAAATAGGCTTATTAACTAAACTCTCACTGAGTCTTGAAATTTCCAGTTTATTTTCTTGACATTTCTGGGCACATAATCTTATATTCTTCACATTATGGTAATTATACTGAAAGGGCGAGGGCTACGCCCTCCATCTTGCCCCGAATCCTCCATTTTTGGGCAGCAGCCATGTGCTCAGCAAGAAACTTCTTCCCAGAAGTCCAAGCCCCTGTTAGCCATACCTAGGATTTCTTTAAACTAACCAATGATAATCAAGGGAAGTGCGCGCCATAGATATGACCACATCCTGTGTAACAAGATACCGACTTGCACCTGGCCAATCGGCATGGCCCACAGTCCTCTCTCCTCCCCTTACTCCAACCCCCCTATAAAACCTCTCTATCCAGAAAGCTCACTCTCCCTGCCCCAGCCGCTGCATCGGCGAGTGTGGGGGGAGCTCAAGCTAGCTTGAATGAAGATTCTTATACTTTTGCATCGGACACAGCTGGCTCCCTGGTGTGGTCTCTTGGGGATCCTGAAATCTGGGCATAACAATACTACCCTTTTCTTTTTAACATCTTATTAGATTTAAATAGGACTTCCAGAAAAATAAGAACTAGCAATGGAAACAGTTTGCTTTATTGTCTTGCTTATGATGTTAGTAGGAATGACTCCAGTGTGTCCTTAAGTATCATGTCAGTGAAACGGAATTTTTGGACTGAAACCTGGGTTCTTTGTCCGCTGGAATCACAGAATGAATGTACGGACAGAAAGTGATATAGCAAAGGTGGAGATTTATTGAAGAACAAGTACAGACTCCCACATGGGGAGAGGGAAAGAGTCCCACAGAATGGACTCCCAAGTAGGGAGGGGGGAAAGGGTCCTACTGAGTTCCTTTTCCCTATGGTTTATAAAGGCTAAAATTCTGGTGCTCTGCTATCCCCTCTGATTGGTCAGTATTCCCTTAGACTGGTTACTATAGTAACTCCTGGGCTCAAAGGTCAATCCTCACAGGGGACATGTGAGGCTCTCCCCCCTCCTTCCTTATTGTTTTCCTATTCCCTCTGGGCTTTCTTCTTCTTCTGGATGAAGGGCTTCCTTCTCTTTATTTTGTAAATATAGACCTTTTGCTGTTCCCAGCTCCCTCATTCTATGGAAATGTACCTGTTGCAGCTTTTCAGCTTCCCCTATTCTATGGAAATATACCTTCTGCTGCCCTGCAGCCCTGTGCTTCCTCCATGGTGCTCTTAATTTCCAAAATTTCTAAAATTTTCTAAACCTGTCCCATTTTACCCCTAAAATTCCTGTTTCATCATTATTAGTTTATGATATTATGTTTATAAGTAAATATTATTTTCTTAACTTTCTAAGTGTTTTAATCAGGAGAAGGTGCTTAATTTTTTATCAAATGTCTTCTTGCCATCACCTGAAGGGGGGAAATATGTTCTTTTCCTTCTAGTTATGTTTGCAATATAGTCTTTAATATTTTTTCTAATATAAAGTGAATGTTCTTTATCCCCACAGCTCGTGGGCATGATTTAAGATTTATTAATATTAGCAATCTAAAGGTTGATGTCTCTTGATCAGGAGTAACTTGCTCCATAGAAGTTCTAACCCTGATCACCCCACCCCAAATCTTTGCTATTTCTTGTTTCCAGAAGGTAGTTAGTAGGTGCTCAGAAAATATTTATTCTCATAGCCTTCCACTCTGATCTCCTTATTGATGTTAGAATCTCTTGAGAAAGGTGTGTGGCCTTCCTCTCACCTCTGCTGGTGTTTTCCTTTATAAGAAGGAGACCCTACAAAGAAAGCTGCTGTCTTTATTATGGATTCATACCACAGATTCCTATATTAAAAATAAAGAAAGTGATATAATCTGATTCAAATTATTGTCATGAGAACAAAATACAAAAATGTATATAAAGCTCTTAGCACAGTGTCTGGCACGTTAAAGTCACTCAACAATTCTACTACTAACGATTATATTAAACGATGCAGAGGTATCAGGCAAGAACATGATTAGCTCTATTTGTAAGATTGGGATTTGAGGATTACATTGAATTGAACGGATGTCTTTGTATCTTGTGTCCTTGCCCAAAAACCCTGTTTGTTTTCTTTTTTAATCTACCATGTGGCAGGGGAGTGCTAGGATGAGAAACATCTGAGTGCACACGGGCCAAAGATCTTTCCTCTTAGACTCATTCAAAAGGTGTTTGGTCCATTGCTGGTGGGCTTCTTGACTAACCCTCCCCCCTCACTCCACCCCCATCCCCCTCATTATGAGTCACAGCCCAGCAGCACCTCACCGGAGGCCCAGACAGGTGTGAGGGATATGTTTTGGCCCAAGCATGGAGCCTGGGAAAAATCGCCAGAAGCCAAACAAGGGAGTGAACTGTGCATGCAGGGCTGCAAATCTATAACCTTCCAAAGAGCCTGAGATAGCCAAGGAGACTTGTGGCTGGGAACCCCAGGGTCCCAGTCTGACGTCTGTAAAGATCCAAAGCTGCAGCAACTCGAACACAGGTCCAGCTGGTTTTCTGGAAGCTGTGAGGTTATCTAAAAGTTGTCTAGGAAACCATCTCTGCCTGTTCCTGGCCGGTTTTCCTTCAAAGACAGCCTCTGTTTCTGACCCAGCCCATGTAGCAGTGATGGGGAGCTGGCTCCTTCACTCAGTCTCCTTTATCAGGATATAGTCTGTCCTTTGAACACAGTCAGGGATGTCCAGGTGGGCCTGGGCTGGGACCTGGCCCAGGTGGGTAGAGTGTGGGATTTCTCAGGAAGGGCAAGAGCTCAGCTGCAGCCCGCAGGGTGTGCTATATGACTTTGGCTCAGGTCCTTTGTTTCATTGATCTATATGTATGTTTTTAAGCCAGTACCATGCATGCCTTTTAGTTACTGGAGCTTTGTAATATGTTTTTGAAGTCAGGGACACTGGGTACAAGTTTTACTCTTTGACCTTTTTTTTAAGATATTTTATTGTTTAAAGTATTACATATAGTATCACACCTATGTCTCCTTTTTCCCCCATTGACCTCTCCCTGGCCACTCCCATCCCCCAGCACATGCCCTACCCCCCTAGTGTGTGTGTCCATTGGTTATGCTTATATGCATGCATACAACTCTTGACCTTTCTTCAAGGGAGAGGCCTCAGAGCAGTATTAGCTTTGTGTGCTGGACGCCTGAGAGGAGCAGCAGCAAGCCTCCCAGTTCTCTTTCGTTTTCTGTGGCCCCGGGCACCTAGAGCATGCTGGGCCCCATTAGCTGTCTTCATAGGCAAACAAAAACCAGTTTCTTGGACTGCCCTCTGAAAAGCTAAAACAATGGGTGCAGCAGGCACGTTCCCCTCCTCAGGGAAAAGCTGGGAGTTGAGGATTTTCTGCTCATTATATGCTGAGCTGGGGGGAGGGACTTTGGCTAGCAAGTGTGCGGCTAGTCCAAATTGCCACCTTTGTTCTGGGCAGCTCCCAAGCTGACACCTTTTCCTGTTAGTGCTTAGATTCAGGCAAAACAGAATCAGTCCCTTGGGCAGCCTTGTTCCCTGAAAGTATATTTCAGTCTTCTTTCCTCCCCAGGGAGAAGCCAGGAACTCTTAAGTCTTCTGATGGTGCCACACTGAGCCAAGGAGAGCGACTATGGTAAGTGAGTGGCCCGGATCTTTCTACCAGTTTGGATACAGCTAATTTGGTCCTCATCTGGGATGCATGAACCTCCTCACTGGTTTATGGGAATCTCTCAGAGGGATTCGGTCCATGTATAGTTGAGTAGATGGCTCCTTGGGGAAAGGAGAATCAGGGGCTTCCTATTTTGCTATCCTGTTGACATCCTGCACTTTATATTTTTAAGGTGCAAAATGCAATACATATGCTTTGATTTAATATTGTTAATTTATTATTTAAATTCTCTGTGCCCTTATATATATCTTAAAATAGTTTCTCTGGTAATTGAGGAGAGAGCAATGTTAAATTCTATTTCAGAGATCCAGTTATTTTCTTCTTGCATTTCAAACTATTTTTGATTAGCATATTTCAATGTTATAGGCTATTTAAAAAACCTTATAAAAGTCCATGAATGTATAGGTTTAAAAATATATATATATATATATACGTGTGTGTATATATATATATATATATATAT